ATAAACCTCTAAGAGTTAAACAGATCAAAATGATGAAAGATGAAACAATAAAGTCACAAGTCCTCAAAGAACTAAAATAACAACTGCAAATTTTCTTTTTCCCCCACCCCGGTACTGGGGATTGAACTCAGGCCTTTGCGCTTGCCAGGCAAGCACTTATTCTACTGAGCTATCTCCCCGATCCCTAATAATTTTTAAAATTTTAAGAGTCTCTGTGTGTGTGTGTGTGTGTGTGTGTGTGTGTGTGTGTGTGTGTGGTACCAGGGATTGAACTAGGACCTTGCACTTGCCAGGCAAGCACTTAATAGTTAGAAAACCTTGAAACCCTTAGACATATCTGTTAAGGCCAACAAGAAAAGGCAGCAGCCTGCCTCCAGCACCTGGGCCAGCGCTGCTGGGGACTCTCCTTCGCCAGCCGGCAGTGCATGCTGAGCAGCACGCGCGGTACACTGGTGCATGCAGACAGCCATACGCAGACAGTGCTACTCAGAGGAGCGGGCAGGTGCAGAGGAGACGTGAGGGGAACCTCGGCACTGGGAACTTGACTACTACATGAGGTCAAGTAGGACGGAGACCTGGAAGGACGCCGGGTGTGCTCCGACCCTTTCTGGAGAGGTAAATGCCAACAAGTGTCAGGGCGTAAATGGGGGCTGGTCTGTGGGTGGCGGCAGCAGAGCTACTGAGTCATGGAAAGTTAACATGAAGGAAAGGAACAATGGCTTGCTGCTTTCTGCCTACAAGGGAAGTTTGTGGCAAGATAGCTCAGCAGACTAACCACCTGCTTAGGCAAGCACAGGGACCAGGGTTCAATTCCCAGCACCAGATGCCATGGTAGTGAGACCCGGCAGCAGATACACAAAAAATAAATAAACAAATAGATACGTGGGAGTCTGCGCTCCTCGAGATGTGTCAGACCTGGGCTTCTTTCCGCAGGTTGCCCTACATACAAATTTGACACAGATGTTAAATATAACAAATCCAGCTTTCTGAGTCTGAGCTTTGGGTTTCTCTGACGAGCACCTCACTGTGCCTGGCTGGGGATGGTGCATGTGTGTATGTGGCCGCTTTCCTAACAGTAAGGAAGGGCATCAACACTCACGTCAGAGAGGCGAGTTTGTTAGCAACAGATAATGGCATAGAAATGCTTTGTGAGAATAAACTCTAAGTAAGTTTTTTCAGTTGTGTAGAATGTGGAGTTTGGAATTTTAATTTATAAATCCTATAAATTAATGTTATTATTAAATAAAATGCAACCAAAAAGTAAAGAGGGCAGTAGCTTTTATGACAGTCTGTTCATTTCACCCATAATAAACAAAGTCATCTTTTAGTTCAGAACCATTAAGCCAAGTAAATACTGCCTGCAAGTTTAATTTTTACTTACTCCTGTCAAGAAAGAAAAATGGCTTAAGGCAAGGCAAGCACTCACAAATATTACAGACACATTTTAGCAACCTCATGAGTAAGTACAGTCTTACTTAACCAGGATGTATAATTATTAATATGGTAGAAAAATACATCATTTCTTTCACTTCAAGTTTATTAATACAGATGATGGTGAGCTATGACAGTCTTATATTTATTTGCAAAGTTGTTGCCACAAATTACTTCCATGCGTGCCATAATGCACCCAAAGCTGGATGCATAAATAATCACGGAATATCAGGAAAATTCCAATAATCCCGCAAGAACTAATCTATCATCTAAATCCCGAGATTACTTTAAATAAGGGAGAAATGCTATAAAATACAAACCACAGGCTAAAGAACTACAGCAAAACTCTACCAAGTGATAACAAAACCTTTGTATTTATCCTGAAGAAACTACCATTTTGGAAAACTGGAAAGAAGGAAATAGACACCTTTTGAAATTGAGAGGAAATTCACTGTTTATTTTTATGGATAAACATATTTTTGCTTTTATAATAATGACACTTTCCTTTTTTCTCATTTCTTGTCCTCTATATAAGTGAATCAGTATCCTGAAATTGCTCCCTATTTTCTATTCTCTGCCTTTAAAAACACGGTACTGTAGTCTGAGAATTGGCATGATGAGAAAAATCCCGGATCCCTCTGAGTGTCCTAGTTTTTGCAGATAAACGCCCTGTAATATTGTCTGTTGTCTTAGGTAATGGTGACTGATGTCTAATATACACAGAAGTGACCAAAGAATCGACAGTCCTCTCAGACTGTGCTCACGAAACTTCAATCCTGGCCTCTATTTAAGGGACACTCTTTGAAACACATACCTCAGAGTGGAGGTGAAAAGCCCCGCTCACGGTGCACCAGGGCACGCCTCATAGAGGTCTCGGTAGTTTCATACTAACGTCACTTGGTTTGAAGCTGTGTTTCAGAGCCAGGGTTTGACTTACACCCACCCACCTCCCCTCCCTAAGGCTGTGGGCTTCTGTCCTCCTCCTTCTGTCTTGCTCTTGGCTCACGTCAGGTGCCCAAAAGTCTGGAGCATAGCTATTAGTTTCAGATGTCCAAACCAACAAAGTTGTGTGATTAGGTTTCCAGTTTAACACAGTGGCGGAGCTCCTGCAGTAGAGCTCATTACGACTGTCGCTGTCCTCTAGGACCTTGACTTATGGCTGTTTCGGGCAGTGGCTGCTAGGAAGTGAATTCCTCACGCTGGAGCTAATGATATCTCAGGACAGATTAGGAGCCCTGCAGCGACACAGCACACGAACACTCTCCAGGCCTACTGTTGACCCTGGAAGAAGGAAACTTTAAGGTGCCTCTCACGATTCCGAGGGCAATCACAGTGATGTTTCCTTTGAGTTTCGCTCATTTCTTCCTTCAGCAAATATTTATTTAGCAGTGAACCATGCATGACACCACAATAGATATAATGAAATTTACAAATTTAATGCACAATCCTTGACAGGTAAAGCTTTAAAATCTTAAAGAAATTGTGATCAAATATGTGAAATTTTACACAATCAAGTTCACTTAAGACTATAATTTTAAGGGGCCGGGGAGATGGCTCAGTGGAATAAGCGCTTTCCTGGCAAGCGCAAGGGCCCGAGTTCAATCCCCAGTTCTGCCAAAAAAAAAAGAATATAATTTGAAGGTTGTATCCCAGACTGTTAAGTAGTTATCTTTAGATGCCAGGATTTTGGGTAGTGTTGTGCTAATAAAGTGTTTAATAATTGGCTCTGTATTCACCAGAGAAGTAAATCTAAGATACTTGCTAATGTATCCACTGGTATAGGAAATACAATAGAAGGAAAATATGAAAACAAACTGTTTTAGCAAATACAGCTGGAAAGTGTGTGCCAATTACCAGCGGTCCGTGCTGGCCCTGGGCTCGGTCCCTGCATTCAGCCCTGAGGACCGACAGAAGCCCTGACCACCTGGAGCTCAAACAAACGAGGGCAACACCCTGAAGAAGTCCGACCGCCAGGCCGCAAGGGGAGGAGGCGCAGCTACTCGCTACTACAGACCAAGGGGCAGAAAAGGACGGGGTGGGAGCCGCCACGCGTGTAAGCAGCATCCCCCCGGGGAAGCTGAGTGAGTTACTTGTCTATAAGCAAGACAATGAGAGAAAATTAAGGGAGGAAAAATCTAGTGTGCAAAATAAGGAGAACATTTCATAGTAAGTAGAGTCGTCAGCAATACAACAGGCTGCTCTGCACAAGAACCAATGTTCATTTCTCCCATGTGGCTCATGCCACCTAAAGACACGACTGGCAGAGTGCGCTGAGCACAGGGCTCCGTGCACCCTGGACGGAGGCAGAGCCGGCGGCCCTTGGGAGGCGGAAGCCCGCTCGCTCCCCCTGGGGCCTCGCGGTGTGGAGCCAGCAGCAGCAGGATGGCACCGTGCCTTCAAACACAGACAGGATGTGTGAAGAACAGAAGCTAAGGGAGGGCCTGGGAAACCTTCCGTAGGAGTTAAAGGGTAGGATTCGATGGGGCCTGGCCCGGAGCGCAGGGCTGAGAGAGTGAGGCGACAGCGCGCCTGGGAAGCCGCCCGGTCAGCCCACTCGCTGCAGCCTGCTCTTCTTACACCTCTGCCTGGCTCTGCCTGCTAGTAATGATCAAGGCTCTGCGACAGCCCAGGCTACCGCGCTTCTTCAGGAGAACAAAAAGGGCGCCGCACACACAGGACCATTAAACCATTACACAGGTAAAGAATATTACATATAAAAATTCCTTCTGCTCCACAACAGCCTGTTAAGTAGACCTCATTGTCATCCCAGCGTACAGAACCACAGGCATGACACGCCTTGCTCAAGGTCCACAGAATGCAACTGTGGTGGTTCTTTCAGGAAAGAAAGAACTGCAGTATCACTTAGTAGCAATACATGTATATGAATGAATTTCTTCTTCCCCCGCCCTCCTCACCCTTGCGCCTAGCAGCTTCCTTAACAGTGTTTCTACCTATGAGAGAAGCTGGGTGATAGGAGAAAGCAATTTTATTCAACACACATCCAAGAATACAGCAGCAAGTGCTGCAGTCTGAGGTAGAAAAGACGTTATCTGTCAGTGGTAAAATTATAAGACTATTAAACTCTAAACCATGGGGGCCCAGCCCTAGCTCAGTTCTTTGGGGGCCGGGGAGATGGCTCAGTAGAATAAGGGCTTCCCTGGCAAGCACAAGGGCCTGGGTTCAATCCCTGGTTCCACCAAAAAAAAAAAAAACCTCTAAACCCAACAATTTCCCAAAGAAAGAGGATATAGAACATTTCTGGGTGCTGATTCAAATTAAAAAGCAGTAAGCTTAGCTTAACACTGACAAAGGTACCTCTTGAGGAGTCCAGAAATTAACAAATTTGGTTCAGGACGGTGACTCCTGTGTTCCCATAGCAGCCTAAAAAGTGACGCTTTCCGCTGCTGTTATGCAGATCTCAGTAACTTGTTTGTGATGTCACCCAACACAGCAAATGCACGCTGCCTAAAACCCACGCGGAGCGCATCCTGGCCTCCTCGGCCCACTTCCCCCTAAGCTACTCATTTAGCAGCACAGCGAAGGCACAGGCAGCGCAGCCGCCGACTCACCTGTGGTCCAAGTGGTGAACAGAGAGGATAACTCCTGAATTTAAGCGCATCTGTTTCAGGGTCACCAAAATGGTAAATTCATGTTTGTTTCTCAGCTTCTGAAGAAACTTCTCAGCTGTAGCGGTGGATGCCTTGATGCTTCGGGGAGTATCTAAAAAAGATACACAAATATTTGCAAAGAGTCCACAAGCCTTTGTCTTTATAACGTAAAATTTAAATCTAACATTTTTGAGAAAGCCAAAGTATAAATTAAGGAGCAAAGTAAAAGACAGGTCATAGGAAACAGGGAGATAGATCTTTAAGAAGCAGCCTGTCCACAGACCAGCTCTCTGTGATGAAGCAATCACTGTGTACTGCGGAAATGTGTATTAATAAAAAATTTAAAAGTCCAACATCTTTCAAAAACCTTATCAAATGATAACTGATAAATATCAAGGCTTAGACTCTCTAGATCAATTCAACAAGATTTTACAATAGTGCTTGTCTATATACACTCAATAGGTTCTCGTTACGTATACAGTTGGTATACCTCACGGGGCAACGGAATCACCAGCGCTAAAGTGGTCTTGCTTCAGGAACCTTCTTCTCCAGCGCCAGCTCTCCTGAGGAAGGCACTTCAGCTTCCTCTCTCCGTACCTCCTGGTCCACAGAATATCGCTATCAACAA